ACACACAGTAACAACACAATAAGTAAAGAGAACAACCTAGACATGCAATATAAAATGCAATATGAAAAATGTATAAAATGTGGCCAGGTGAGGAATCTATACAATAGTTTCAAGTGAGATTGGATGAAACTCAACTTACTAACCAACTCACTTTTCACCCCCCTATGCAGCTTCCAGGACAAAATGTACATCCTGTCATCTCAGGAGGCTTACCAAAAGTTTATCACAAACCCCCGGCGGTACTTACTTCCTCCAATGCCCAGGCCTCCTTGCAGAGTTTCCATCATTGGACCTCCACAAGCGGGGAAGAGCACTCTATGTAAGCTTCTAGCTCAGCGCTACAATGCACTGGTGCTTGATGCAGAGGTATTGGTGCAGCCCGTTCTGGCTAAGGTTGAGCAGGAGAGGCTTGACAAAATCAAAAAGGAGACAACACAGGTCGCTATAGAGAATGTAAAGAAGAAGATGGAGCAGGATGGCGCACCCAAGTCGGGCAAGTTGAGCTTTGTTGATGATATTCACTATCACCTGTACAGTTCTATATATTGTATGATACAACAAAATACCATATATTGTATGTGCATGTAGTTTTTAAACATGCAACTAATATTGCATATACAGAATTAATGCTCTGATATGTTATTTGATGATGATGAAACTGTAGAAGGTAAGACTCACACAAAAAGATAAACATATTTTTACATATAGTTTACTGTACATATTGATGTTATTCTGATCATGCTACGTTGTGTCTCAGAATTTTGGGGCTCACAGTGAGAGATTATGTAATTATGGGCAGCATGTTCTATATTTGTGTGTAAATGTTTTCTGTTGTTCTCAGTGACAGAGGATCATCCAGAGGTACAAGCCATGGTCCTCAGTGCGCTGGAAGAAGCTAAACATATGAGCACATCTCCCTTTGGCCTGTATGCTGAGGTACTGGAGACGCGTATAAAAGAGGTATGTAAAAAATCATGGCAACTACATTAACAAAAGCTAAACAATAGTACCTTTTTTATTTATTGAATTTATTTGTAAGAAAGCATAGACATTTAACATAGATGTTGCCATTTGACATTTATCACATGCAGTAAATATGATGTCAAGGTTGAACCAAATATATGAACCACTTAAAGTTTAATTCAGCGTTTAGCTTGAGGTGGAATTTAGTAAATCTATAAACAGTGATTGATAATAATTCTGATGTTACAGATTGAAGAGGCTGACACTGATGCAGATGCCAGGACTGGCTGGGTGCTTGACAACTTTCCCAAAAACTTTTCCCAAATGGGTGCCTTACAGCAAGCTGGAATCCAGCCAGACATCCTCTTCTGGCTCAGTGACAGTGATGGAAATCAGGGTACGAGACATAGAAACTATGCATTTTTTTTATTTAAATATATAGACTAGATTATATTCATATTTCAGTTCTGTCAGTGTTCATGTATTATTGAACTTCAATATGTTGAATAGTTCTGAAGAGATTATACGAGATGAACAAGGAGAGCGTGGACAAAGCAGTAAGGAAGAGGTTGCAGGACAAACAATCTAAGAAGGAGAAAGCAGCCTTGTGAGTGCAGGTGCAGTGTTGCTGTAAAATCACGTGGGTTGTTATATCTAAAATGATTGTTTGAACAGCTTTTGTTTTTGTCTTTAAACTCTTTCCATTTTAGAAACCAGAAGTCAGTGGTAGAGGCCCAGCCAGCAGAACCGCAAACAAATCTACAGACAGTTGTCGAAGAGAGTGAAGGTACTATCTGTCTGTCTACGTAAAGCAGACACCAGGCCAGTTAGTGTGTGTGTGTTAAATTTCTCTCCAGTAGTTTGCCGTCAAAAGTACTTAGTGTAAGAATTAGAACTTCTACTCATATCTGTTTCAAAATAAAGGTTCACATATTATACTGGACATACATTTTCACACTCTGGCCACATATTTTCATTCAAATCCCACTTACCTTTTGGTTTTCACAAACTATACAATATATAAGCGCCTTAAAAGCAGTTTTAAACTGAAAAAAACATTAGCTCTCTGTCTTTAACACTCTCCATCTCCTTCTCCCCTGTGTGTTGCTCAAGCTGTGGTTCTACCTGATCATTGGGAGTTGGGTTATCCAGATGGCCCGGAGATGAATGACTATAAACAGCAACTGCAACAGTTTGTGATCCAATGGGAGAAAATGCAGTCCACTTTAACTGTTGCCCACTCAGAACTAGAGATTGGTGGCAAAAGCCCAGAGGACCTGCTTCAAGAGATAGTCCTTCAGATGGAAAGTGAGTGGAACCGTATCAGTCATAGTCTTGGGTTGGGATGACCAATCAGCTTTTAAGTAAATATATGTAACCGCAAAATATAAAGTACTCATGACAAATGTTTCTGAATTGACAATAGAGTTTTAATGATTACTGAGATTCTACCACATGTCATGTTTGGTAAGAAAAACTTTTAACTCAATCTGGTTTAACTGCATTATCTTTAGAACCCTTTAATTATGTGTCCTGGGAGCTGTCAGCCATAGACCTGGAAGAGGAGTCAGAAGATATCGAGGCCTTAACTGAGCTGGAGAGAGCTGAGGAAGGCAGCAGTGACAATGACACAGCAGAGGAGGAGAATGAAGTCAGTAAACAAAGTATTCTTCTTTTAGTCTAAGTTAACCAGTCAATTACCTTTTTGACTTTATAAACTACAGGTTCATAATCCTATTTATGATTGGAGAGACTAAGGTACAGGCCTGTTTTACTGCCATGTTGACAAACAATAATATAAAATTATTGTTCCTTCCTTCCTTCCTCTGAATGAAAGCAGGGGGACACAACATCCAAGAGATTATTTGGCGATACCCATCATTTCTGCCCTGTGGCCCTAAAACACCACAATGTCCTCTTGCCCTGTATGGACGAAATAGCAGCCAAGTACCGCGAGAAGACCTTCTGCTTCTCTAGCCTCGACGCTAGGGACTCCTTCCTTGAAAACCCTGCACACTTTGTCGCACAGACTGGGCCTCTCAAGGTACAAGCTGGCACGAGAATAGAAAGAAAAAAGCCATAGTAAGATAACAAAAATCCCTAACAAGGTTCTTATCTTCTTCTGTCCAAGCCTCCTGCCCTGCGGATCTTTTTGCTTGGCACCCGAGGGTCAGGCAAGACCACGCATGGTGAGTGGCTCGGCCAGAAGTTGGGCATCTTCCATATTCAGTTCAGGGAGCAACTCCAAATGCTCATCATGGCCAAAACAAAGCAGCGGGTTCCTTATGCTGACGAGATTGAGTCTTCAGAGGAGTCTGAAGACTTGGAGGCCCTGATAAAGGAAGCCAGGGGGGAGGACGAGGAAGAGACAGAGGACCCCTCTGACAACACGAATGACATAGAGGTCATCTTCGATAAACTTTTTCTGTGGCAAAACTTCCAGTATTATGGTGCCTGGTAATGAATTATAATGTATTTGTTCTTGTGTGTCCACAGCAGGAAGTGGTACTGACTGATGAGGAAAATGCCATCAAAGCCTACCTGTCTGATGGAGAAGCCCTCAGTCCACAGATCCTGGATATGGTTATTGAACCATACTGGAAACAGGAACCATACAAGTAGTTGCACACACACACACACACACACACACACACAAAAACACGCACTTCCTGCCCCTCCTTCTACACTACTTATCAGAAAATATTTTCTTGTTTTCACAAAAACAAAAGTGTAAAAACGTCAAAACCCTGTTTTCCCAAACTGTAAAAAATTTTCTTTTACTACATTATTTATAAATGCCTTATTTTTGTTATTGTATGTATATTGTGACCCTTAAATACTCTACCTCTTAGGTCTACGGGTTTTATTTTGGAGGGCTTCCCTAACAATCCTGATGAGGTGAACTACATGTCGCAGCAACAGCTTTTTCCTGACCTTGTGGTAACCATGGCGGTGGAAGTCTCGGAGGTTCAGAAGCGTCTGTTGCCTACATACCTGGAGAAATGGCGTGAGCAGCGCAACCGGCGTGAAGCACAGCTGACCCTCCTTCGTGATATACGCAAGAAGAACCGGGTAAACATGTGACAAATTGGTAGAATTATTTTTTACTTTATTATCATGCCTTATTTCTACTGTCCGTCCTGACAATGACTGTAGATTGTGTGAGTATCTGGCACATTTCTATTTCTTTGGTACAGGAGGAGAACATTGCCAAGAGAAGAGCTGAACTCATGGCAGAGCAAGGCGATAAGGCAGACCAAACAAAGGTAAGCAAACTTATCATAACCACTGATATCCATCACTGTTTAACCCACTTAACTTTCCCCCTAACCCCAATCCCCTAACGGATCAGTCCGGGGATCATGAGGATGAAGAAGGTGATGAAGAGGATGAAGCTGCAGGCAACATTGAGGATGAGGTAGAGGCCATGCTGGAGGAGGAGTTTCCTTCAGAAGAGGATAATGAATACGCAGACAATGAGGAGACTGAGGAGGCAGCGTCTGCGAAACTGGAGATGGAGATAGAAGAGCGTTTTGGGACAGATGAAACCAACCTCGCTACTCTGACGGTAAAAAGACGACTAGCCAGATATGCATATTAGCTTCCCTCACCAATATCATTCTCATATTATTTATAGATACTCGGTTGATAGATACTTAGAGACATTCAAACATTTTACATTCTGATTTCAAGAACACATCATATGATTTTAGAGAGACACAAGTTAGACCAAGCGTAAACCTAATGTGACTTGCATAATCTATGTTCACATATTGTACTTCACTTGTGCTCATACATTCTGCTTTCAGGAGCTCCTGACTGAACAAAACATACCAAAAATGTCAATCAGTGCATCTCGCAAGATCCGGATGGTGCAGCATCAGTTGCTTCAGAAAATTCAGCCTCTGCTGTCCAACAGGGAGTCACTCTTTCAAAAATGCCGGCCTGTCTCATACAGCCTGGCACATAAGCTGCTGCTCTCCTCTTACAAGCTCCACAGTGCCTTTGGCTGCTGGGACCCCATAAAGGTAGGCATATGTCAGGAATTATTATTTTTTTGCATCTGTGGTATGAGGCCATGGTTTTTGTCATTAATAAGCTTTGAGCAGACATGTTAATCAGTGCAACTCTAACATATTGTTTTACACACCCCCTTCTGCAGCAATACAAAGAGAGAGATTTGATCCAGCCTCTGCAGTGGCCTCTCAATACCACATTTCCTCTCATCTTCCATCAGTACATCTACTTCTTTGCGTCAAAGGAGAACCGCAAAACATTTATGCTCAACCCCTTAAAGTACCTTAGACAGCCAAAGCCCACTCCGTGCCTTCCTGTTAAAATGGCTGTTGTTGGACCACCTAAATCAGGAAAAACGACAAGTAAGACTCAAGACAGCTGGAAAATGATCCACCCAAAGTTGTTTCTTTTGCACTTTTCTCAAATACTCACACACTTTCTCTCACTTTGCTTTATCTCTCCAGTGGCACAGATATTTGCTCAGAAATATGGCTTGGCCCGGCTGTCCATCGGCAGTGTTGTACGTATGGTGCTTAGCACCCAGGAGGATACTGATCTGGCTGTCCACATAAAAAAGCATCTCTCCCAGGGAAGTGTTGTGCCTGATGAACTGGCCATTCAGTGTCTGGAGGTGGCGCTTATGAGTTCAGTATGCAGCACTCGAGGGTAGGCGTGATCCATTTAAAGTTGTTGATGTTTCAAGAAGAAGACTATACTCTTACTTATGACTGTCTGCACATGTTTTTATTCCTGCTTGAGGTTGTTTGACAGTATTTACTTGTTTGGCGTTCCAGGTATGTGTTGGATGGCTTTCCTCAGACACTTAAGCAGGCAGAGTTGATGGGGTCTCGGAGCATCATCCCAATGATAGTAGTTGAGCTGGAGCTGGACACAGTGGAGGTGCTGAAGAAAGGCCTTGTGGACAAGATGAAGAGCAACAAGTCAGAGAACACACATTAATAGCAGCTATAAACACACATTTTCAGAGATCCTAAGTCTGAGAGTTTTTTAAAATCATAAATCCTAATAGTAATTGTAATAAGATGTCCTTTGACTGCAGGCCTCACCTTATGCACGACAGCTCCGAGATCCTCCACATTCGTAACTCATGTTACAAGCAGGAGGTGGAGCATGTGAGGCAACACTTCCGGCAACAATATCAGAACTGGATCCAGCTCGATGGGTTAAAGAGCAAATGGTGGATCTGGAACAGCATTATAAAGGAGGTCAGCATCAGCATGAAATATATCCACAGCTACCTGGAGAGGATGGGCAGCAGTAAGTACTAAGCTTATCCAAGCATCAACTCAGCAAAGTTATTTACACCTAAAATAAAACATCATGCCAAATACTGTATGCATTGAAAACATTGAAAGCATTTAATTGACAAGGATGCATTTAATCTTTTTCAGTTTCTTTCAACCTTTTATTTATTTTTTGTAATTTCTTGTTTGTAGAAAACTTACTATTTAACTTAACTTACAAAGGAAACTCCAGGAATAAAACAAAAAGACAAATAACAGTTACTCTTAAGATGACAGGTATTACTCTTCCCCATGCATTTTAATTTTGCAGGGCAAGCAGCCTGCATCAACAGACTGTGCATCACACCCAAGGAGCTGCAGTATCGGCTTGGAGAGTTTGGCCAGTACTGTCCCGTCTGCCTGGCTCTACAGTACCACCTGGTGGATTGCTCTGAAACTGCGGACTTAACTCATGCTGCTGAGCACAGGGGACGCTATTACAAGATGTGTGGTGAAGACCATCTAGAGGTCAGTGCACTGGAGTGACACTTTCAAAAGACACAGACGGTCAAATGGAGTATGGAGAAGCCAAATGAAGCAGACTTTCTTCTTTTCAGATACATTCTGGGCATGATTTCTGTCATTATCCAGTGGAAAAAAATAACATTTTAATGTTGCTCTCTCAACCACAGCGGTTCCTGGTCACTCCAGATCAGTTTGTGACTCCTAGCTGCCCACGCACTCTCCCAGAACCCCACCTGCTGCCAAGAAAGATAACTGAGAGTCAGGTGAAGAAGAGGTTCCCACAGCAAGTTGAGATGAAAGGCTTCTGCCCGGTCACTTATCTGGATGGGAGGCGAAGGTACAATATTCACACTTATACAGTTCATTTAAAATCTAACTCTAACTCTGTCTCTCTTGCTTGAAGTAATATTGTTGTCCTTAAGTTCCAACTCAATAGTCAAAGCTAATTCTGACAGGTACATAATTTCTGTTATCTTGAGAATACACAGACATGCCTAAGACCCCTCCAAAAAAACATTTATTTGTCCATAGGTATGAAGCTCTGGTTCGAGGAAAGATGGAATATGCTGTGGAATACAGAGAACGGATCTACATTTTTGAAACGAAGGAGAAACAGGCCAAGTTTTTGAGGTGTGAAGTCATGTTTTCTGTTCACAAGGTTTATTCTGTGGTGCATGTGGTGCAATACTTATAATGAAGACATTATAGTGTTATTTGACCATGTTACAGTAAGTGGTGTTGATATATTATATTTCAAGGATTCCTGAAACTTACTGCGACCAGAAGCTGCCCAGTAAAATTCCTCCTCTCTGTGAGCCTGTACCCCTCACTTCCCTTCCAACATTGGGCTACCTGGAACAGGTCACACACACATACACACATCCCAATATTCTGTAATAATGTAATGTCTGCAGCTGATTTTTTAACATCAACGGTTGACATATATACGTTTCTTTGACATCTGCCCTGCTTTAAGTTAAACCTGTATTTTTTTAGGGTGTGGCAGTAGCAGTCATCAAGGCAATGACAGCTGTTGGTTGTCTCAAACCAAAGTATCCCTTCCTCAGTATACAAAGATCAGCACTTCTCTATTTGGCCTTCTATCTGAAAGGTAAGCAAGATCTCCAAGATTACCTTGATAATAATAAAATAAAATATCATGCATGAATTGCTTAAACTTAATGATGATGGTAAGGGTATTAATGACTGTTTTGTTTATCTACTTACTCTTGCTTTAGTCAAATTTTGTATCCAACTAATGGATTAAAATCTCATATTTTTACAGCTTTCAACCACAAGAGCACGGACTACACCAGCCAGAAGTACAAAAAGAAACTTGCCTTGTTTGAAGAGAACTGTGCACTCATTCCATACCTGACCTCAACAATGAGAGGGAACTACAGGCCTCCCAGTGAACGTCCCATTGACTTTGAGTTCAAACTGAATAGGTTCCTGGCTTTGGGAGACTTGCCAGGAGCCAGCAGTGTGCTTTAGTTGTGCCTGTTTTGAAAAACCTTGACTGCTGCTAGTTTATGTTGACTGTGTGACAGCAAAGGGATTTTAAAGTAAGCTGCTGTTAGAGTTTATTTTTATCAAGAGCTGCATGTAATAAAGCATCCTTCACTGTCAGGGTTGGAAGATTTGTTTTGCTTATCCATAAAAACGCATTTTCAACAATGAATCTCCTTCTCTTTTTTGCAGCTTATCTGCATAGAGAAAATTCATACTTATTACTAACAACTAATATTTTTAACACCAAAAAATCTAAATTATAGTGAAGCGAGCAGCAAAGTTCTTGAACATTAAAGGCTTGTGGAAAAATATATGCAGATCTTAGTCAAGGGGAAGTGGCCTCAGAGGTAGGTGCTCAAATTATACCACAATGTTTATACTTCAGTGGGATGCTGTAAGTCTGACTGCAAATCACCAAGACTTGAAAGGATATAGTATTACATTAAAAACAAAACCAGATGTTATATGCATGCATGAGACATGATCAAACCAGTTCTAGATTTTATTATTAAAGGATATTTTGGCATACGCAAAGATGGAACCAGTGGAATTACAAGAGTTCAAATTCATAGTTTTCAAAGGATGGACCAAAGAAGGAAGTATGAAAACAATTAATTTCTATAACACATGCAAACAATTAGAGAAAGACAAAATTGCATGCATTTTGGAACATTAGAGGGAAAGTAATCTGGTGTGGGGGAGCACACACTACAGTAGAGGGGATCATGAAGATTTAAGTTGGTGTGTTTAAATGATGTTTGATGTTCCAAATTTACGTTACCAAGTTAAGACTTGAATTTGGAAAAATAGAAAAAAGAGTGGGTAACACAAGTATAAAGTTACTTCCACATTGGACACAAGAATAAACTAAAGCAACACAAAGTTGAAATAAGGCTTTCAAAGCATTGACGAGAACTCTGTTTTCAAAATTACATTAATTATTTTTAAAAAAGCAGGCAATAGTGAGGAATATAATGAGGAATGTGTATATATCTATGAACAACAACAATCAGGAAAAAGGGAAAACAAGAAGAAGCAAACAATCTCGTGTTTTCACGCGAGACTTCCGACGGACGCGGGACAACACGGCTGCTGTTCCTCCCATCAGCTGAGTTTCGTGCCGCCAAACTCGGTAAGCAGTCGCTCCATAACCTTTCATACCACTTCGTGCTCTCTTATAACGACGCAGAGCCGACCGCAACCTGTTACTTCACCTGCTGTTTGTCGGCGATAGTCGTTTTAATTCACCTTTTCAGCGTGTTAGCCTCAGTTAGCCACCTAACTAATGCTAATTCTGTAGAGTGGCTAACCTTGATGTGACTTCGCTAACGTCAGGTTTTAAAGTTTTAAAGTTTTTGTGGCCACTGTTTTGAAAGTGAAGTTCAAGTGGAGCGAGCTAATAAAGCGTTAGGTGGTGGTTTTATCTGGTGAACTAGAGTCGCTGTTTAAAGTTCGAGTAACAACTTGACTCTATGCTACAAACTGTGGTCTCTCTCTGTTCGTGTGTGTGTGTGTGTGTGTGTGTGTGTGTGTTTTCTCTTTCAGGGCTCTCTTTGCTGCCACAAGAGGAGCCTCTCCATCCCCTCTGTCCCACCTCTCTTGGCCACCAAGGTGTCAACTGTGTTGATCAACATGCTGACCCCCAAAAGTTGCTCAACTTGAATCAGGGAGCAATTCCCAACCAACAAGCAATGGAAGTGGTCACTTGAAGGAGTTGTCCCTACAACTGGGACTCATTGTGCCTGACAGTGTTTTTTCTCTGACAGAAAACCTCCACATCCACCCAAGGGCTGAATTCAAGTCTGAAAGGAATCACTGCGTTCTCCTATCTTGGAGTGTAATGTTACATATTCACAACGATATTTTCTTTTTCATCCATGAACATAAAGGAAAACATAAAACGCCATTTACTAAAGGTCGAGCCCTACCTGTCAGTCTGGATTTAGTTGACCACTATAAAGAAATTCACTGTCCTTGCAGCAAATTCCACATTACAGTGAAACACATCAGCTTCAACTCAATAGCATTGCTTCTATCAACCGTCTGCATGAGTGAAATCACACAAACACACACACACACACACACACACACACACACAGAAGAGGAGAGCATGCCCCGGCTCCCATGCCAGTAAATCGACTCTGCCCTTAACAAACTTTAATTATTTAATTGATCCTTAATCAGCAACTTAATAATCAATTAGGTAAACCCATGGAACTCATTTGAGCGCAGAGAGCTGGAGTCTATATGACAAGGGAATCAAAAGAGGAGAGGAGAGCAGAGGGGAGGAAGATGAGGCGCAGTGATCGAAGAATGGGAGAAGGAGGACTGAAGCTGGAAGGAAGAACGGGATGCTGTGTTCTCCGCTTACTCTGATTTATAATTACTCTGACAGTGGAATAAGGTCAGATTCTTGGACTGCTAACATGACATGCCCCCACTGCTGAGGAGGGTAGAGGGGTCGTATCAGCAAGTGACCAGATGGTGGAAGCAAAAAGTAGTTTCGATCATGTTTTTTTTAGTGCTGAGCAGGAGTAACATGGCAGTGAGAAGCCATTTCACTGAAGATAATGGGATGATGGAAATTAGAGCTGATATGATTAATCACCTCATCAACTTTTAAAGCAAAAACCTCAAAGATTCACTGATTTTAGCCTCTCAAATGTAAGGATTTTTATATCCTACATTCAATATCTTTGGGTTTGGGACTGTTTGTTGGACAGAACAAGCAATGTCAAGACTTCACCTTAGGCAATTTTCACTACTTTCTGACATTTTATAGACTAAATGTTTCAGCAGATTAATAAATCATAAAAATAATCATAAATTGTATCCATAATTGAAATTGCAAAAAGCAAAATTCACTCTACTGTCACTCATCTACCTCATTTTTTTCTTAAATTATTCCGATTTAAAACAAAAAACATGTGTTATACAAACTGTGGAAGCCAAAAATGTTGACTGTATGGAGCAATGTTGGTACAACATGGCCATGGTCTCAGCCACAGCCATACACATACATCACCATCACCACACTCAGATACAACGCAAGCAACTCTTTATCGCCCTCTAGTGTTGACTGCTGATGTCAGCCTTCTGTCACAATCCCTCCAGCTGACACTTTCGCAACTCTTTGCCCTGATTTTGGGGCTCACACCTGCACAAAGCTACAACCAGCATTTGTTTGTGTGTATGACTGTTTTTTTCTTACTATACATCAAGCTTCTGTGTGTGTGTGTGTGTGTGTGTGTGTCGGGAGCAAGGAGTATCAGACACTCACACACTCAGCAGATGAAAGCTTTGCCAATACTGCGAGTCCCCTGAGGGTCATGGCAATATTGATGTGACCATTGGTGTGTGTGCATGCTGCCGGTGCATATCAGTATTTGTCCATGTATGCAGTTGTCTGTTGCATCTGTGCGTGTCACCTCTAAAATATGAAAAGGGCAAAAGAAGCAGACACACTGAAAAATGCCAGTAACCTCTAAACACTGATATGAGACCAGCTCATTCTAACATCCACAGTGGGGTGTATTTTTCCCCCCGCTGATCCCTGCTCAGCAGCTGGAGCATCTGAGCCTCTGACACCTGGGAGGTATATGCGACAGAGTGGGGAGGCGCTGGAAGAGGATGAATAACTGACCTATCACATCCACATTGACTGAGTTAATTAATATAAGTAGAGCAGGGGATTCTTAGCTCACTTTTCACTGTATGGATTTGCTGTCTCCTCACATTTGGTATGTTTTATGTCTATTCAATGCAAATTCAATGTGTTCTGTCCCGCGGCCCGATCATGACAGCTAATTTTGGTATGTGAGCTGTTCTGATAGGGCGGATTTTAATTGTGGCACAACACAGGCCCTCTGTGTGACTGATTGATATAAAATCTCATGTGAATGGATGTCAAATTGCAGCAGAGTGTACTGTTAAAAGGCTCACATTCTATGCATTATGCTTCCGCTTGCAGCTACTACATACTTGTCAGTTTCTGTGCATCTTTTAGATTCGATAAAGCTAAAATATGATGTTTTAAGAGAATAGAGGAGGTTGGATGTAGGCACAGAAATTAGAAGAGGGAAGCAGTGAGAGCAAGAGAGGAAGGACAGGGAGGAGGCACAAGGAAATCCTCATAGACTCTCTTATACATGCAAACACTCCTCTTGTCTGCGGGTGTGAAAGACAAGAGAGAGGGAGAGAGGAGCACGGGGGGGAGATGACACAAGCAGGACAGACAGGAAGACAGGCAGAAGAAGGTGGGAAATGGAGAGAAAGGGAGGGAAAGAGAGCAAGAAAGAGCTCCACTGCCTAGTCTTAATCTGAGCTGTTCTGATCAATAGCCCATTTCCCATTGTTGCCAGAGCTGTTCGATCGCTACACCACGGAATTAACACACCCACTTTAATCTAGGGGGAGAGGAGCGAGGGGAGGGAGAGGAGGGGGGAAGGGAAAAAGGGGAAGAAGGGGGTTAAGGGGGTGAGTGGGGAGCAGCTGTGGAGGCATTCTCAAATGAAATCAAATCTAATTGTTATCACTGTAGCTGCTGCACTTATTACTACCACTGTTACAATTATCCACCCACCATATAGCTCTTTTTTCTCTCTCTCATACCTTTCGTCATGTGGTGTAAACTGGACGTAAATAATCCGAATTAGTGTTTATTTGTTTCATTTTGCTGGCTGTAGATTGGATTGGGTTGGGAGGTCGAGGGGGAGGGGGGGGCGTGGACGGCTCGGCTCATTCCTCGGTGACAGAGAATGGGGTTTGTGGTCAGGTATATTGTGCCGGATACACTCTAACATCTGGGCGTCTCAATTCAGCTCGGCTGCCGCGACACTGTTTCAGCGAGGTTTTCGTGAGATAATGCTGTTATGTTACAAGAATGTGTTCATGATGGCAGTGTAACCTTATTAAACGTAGGCGGGTTTGTTCTGGTTGCACCAATCAGCCTTTTTTTTCTGCCAGTCATCTTAGATCATGAGCTTTCATGGGTAGCAATCTAAAAACATGACTTGAAATGTCGGTTCACACAAATTGCAAATATATATAGAATACATACATTCTCACTTGCCTGGTAGCACCTAGCCATGCAGATAGTTTTGGTTTTA